CCCCCCCACCTCTCGCTTTCTCCTCTTTGCAGCTGAGTCCGCGCGTGGCGGTGGTTGCCCTGACGCACACACACTCTCCCCTCCCCCTCCCACACACACACTACCCCCCCTTCCTATCACCCGTCTCCCACCCCCGCAGCTGAGCCCGCGCGTGGCGGTGGTTGCCCTTCCGCACGTGCACTGGACAGATGGCGGGCTCGTCGATCTTTCAAAGGTGCACGAAATAGGAGTGTGTGTGTGTGTGGGTGGGTTTGAGGGCGGCGTACATATCATTTACCATTACGAGGACATCGAGTCGAGCAGTGCTGCGACGCGGTTCCGAATAGGGCGCCAGCGAAGTGGCGGTAGACGCCGTAGAGCCCCCATGCGGGTCTTGGAACTGGGAGCTGCTCATTTCAAAGGCAGATAGCTGCCTCTGCAAATCTACTGGCGCATATTGATGCTCTTGATCGCCGCGCAAGAGCATCGCGATCTCTACGTCCGTCAGATCCCCGGACATATCGGCCATGTTAAAACGGCCTGACGAACCCATGACGGCTTCACAAATAAAACAACGACAACCCTTTAACTGCAGTCGTTACAATAAACGGTGTAGCTCCGTTCAACATCTGCGGGGAGCCCATTTGCACGTCATCATCCTGCAGCACACGCCTGTACGAGTGTTTGTTGTCTTGCACTGATAACAGGACATGTAAAGTAATGAGTGAGGTTTTTTTATTACCCAATGCAAAGATTTGAGATAAAAAATACAAATCGCGGGATGGGGGGGGGGTTAGTTAACGTACCCGACCCATTGCCCCAAGCACTGGGAGATGGCGGATTTGTCGAACTTGCCCCGGTTTATTTCATCTTTTTTTTAAGTAGTTCTTTGAACCCCTCCCCACTTGCAGCCCCTGTTGGAGGCGTAGGGGCATGGCGCCTTTAACCACAACTTACTTATAGAAAGATGAGGCAGCAGACGGTGGGTTGCAGACATTCAGAGACGGTCTCCGAACTTGCCCGGGTTCTTTTGGGCGCGGGTTAGGGGTTCGGGTTGGAATAGGATAAGGACTACTACTGAAGCCAGGACACGGCATCTATATCTAGCCCTAACATCCTAACATCCTATCTCTATCACAAAATAATTTTGACCATGCAGGTCTCGCGCGCCTGCGCCGATGTGCGCGCCGCGCTCGTCGTCGACGCAACTCAGGTGGGTTTATTAATTAATTAATTCTTATATTTATGAATGTTATAAGTATTTTTTAGGTTAGGGTTAGGGTTTTTTGTTGTTAGGAATGGGTGTGGATTATCTCTGGCCATGGGCGCTCGCGGATTTGCTTATCGTTGAGACCGAGGGCTTCGACGCTTCAGTCATCCTCTTGCTCGCCCTAAGGTGCAACGGAAAGGATTTCTGGATAGGACGTCTGTCCCCGGAAGACGGTCTCCCGGACGTGAATCCAGGACCACTTCCCGAGTACACAGATATCGCCCCCCCTGGAGCCTGGACACTTAGAGAGCCCGCGGATGCATGAATTTCTTTGTTTCAATCTTCTATTGTTGACCGAGAGCGTATGACTTCTTTTTTTTGAACCGTTTATCCATTATTTGTTCACTTGCTGCTCTTGTTAGTGTCGTTCTTCTTATTTCAGCCAAATCTCCCAATTGCGCGGATAACATCATGAATCCACCGCATCAAAAAAAAATGGCTCTGAAGTTTGTATGAGAGGAAAAAAAATCAAATCACGAACATATAGAACATAAAAAAAACATTTAAAA